AGGATCACTGGGGCCAGAGATGAAGCTGAGTAGTTAAGCACTTGCCTAGCATGCACAAGGCTTTGGCTTCCATCCCAGCACTGAAAACAAAGCAAAACAAGACAAAGACAGAACACTGCAAAAATGTGCACGATCAACAGGCCTACAAGGTTGGTTGACATAAAGTCCAGCGGGAACTAGGTGAGGCTGGGAACTGGGAATGCAAGTGGTTCTGTTTCTTAAGGTCAGCCACACTGAGGGAGGAGGTTCGGGGGTCGGGGAGATGAGTGGAGCTTTGTGATTTGTTCCGTTTGAGGAGCCTATGAAATATTCATTATTCAGTGGCAGAGTCATGGAGGTGCAGGTTGACGGCTGGTGAGCTCAGGAGAGTGGTGTAGGTCTAACGTGCTGCATCTAAGTCTACCATTGACCATGGTAATGTGCGGGAGAGGGTAAGATATGAACAGAGTAGGCTGGAGAATATGGGACAAAGCCCTGAGAATCTACACGAGATAAAGAGGACACTGGCAAACAAGAGTGATCTGAAAAGAGGGAAAGAATTATTTCACAACAAGAATTTTTTTGTTGTTTTGCTTTGATTTTTGAGATAAGGTCTTGCCATGTGGTTCAGGCTGGTCCTGAACTATGTAGCCCAGGCTGGCCTTGAACTCGAAGCACTCCTCCTGCCTTAGCCTCTCGAGTGCTGGGAGGAAGAATGGTTTTAAAAAGGGTTAACATTGTTAGGAGGCCTAATCTTGACTAGTAATTTTTTGGTGAAGGAATGGGGTCAGAATCCACATCAAAGTGAGAAGCTGGAGGGAGGTGAGGAATTGTAAGGCTGCCTGTGGGTGCTTTAGATCCGCTTGGGAAGAGCTGAAGCAAAAGGTCATTGTCTGTAGGGAGATGGGCGTCGTGCTTTTCCTTTGAAAGATGGCGGTGGTTTTACACACCAACGCTGGTGGACAGGTGCCAGCAGAGGTTGGTGATGCGTGTGTGAAGAAACTATTCGTACAAGGTCTCTGGGCAGATGCAGGGATCATCAGCGCCGGGGCCACTGTAACAGGAACGGGGGCTCAAAGAGGAGCGCAGGTGCAGGAGGACTTTCAGGTCTGGCACCAGAGAAGTGGAAGTTGATTTTTAGCGGCCTCTATTTCTCTCTGTAGGACACAGCAACGAGAGGGGAGGCAAGGGTTTTGTAAGCGTGAAGAGGGAGAGCTGGAGTGTGAGCTGCCTCGAGACAGCCTGGGGCAGAAAGCTGGCCTGAAGCCGCATAATGGGCAAAGGTTTTTCTACATGTAGGTTGTTTGGTTTTGGTACATGGTGAACAGCAGGGGTGTGTTGGGGAGGGAATGCAAAATGCCCTTAGCTTTCAAAAATTCAATTTTTTTTTATCTTTTGAGAGTCTTGCTATGTGGTTCAGGCTGCCTTGAACTCACTATGTAGCCCAGGCTGGCTTTGAACTCGAAGTGATCCTCCTGCCCCAGCCTCCCAGGTGCTGGGATTACAGATGTGTGCCACTATGCCCAATTTTATACTCTTATTTTGTCTTTTTTTTGGTACCAGGAATCAAACTCATGACCTCGTGCTTGCTGGGCAGGCGCTGTGCCACTGAGCTACATCCCCGGCCCTTATTTTGTCTTTCAACACAAACTCCAGATCTAGTATTTTTTTCCCAAAGCAATGAAAACTTCCCTACTGCAGTCAATGAAGATAGCTACCACTTCCCTTAACTTCTGATATGTTAGTTTTTTCCTACATAAGAACCTTTAAGTGCATTTGGCACTTTGTTTTTTCCTTAGTGGAATTTCAGCCTCATGTTGGAGCTCAGTGACGGATTTTTCCACTGTTGTGCAGAGCGCTGTATCTTTACTTAGTTCCAAGTTCTTGATACAATTCCTAAGGCCTTCTCTTTTCTAAATGAGATTCTCCAGACTGCTGCTTTTGTTTTAGTTTCCATCTTCGTACACAAGGAACATGAAGGGTGACTGGGCGGCTGTGAAGAGCTGATCCAGATAAAACCAATGTATAAAAACAAGCCTGTTATTATACTGGTCCTGCTGCCTTGCAGTTAAGAGATGATTTCTCATTATTGTAATATGCAAGTGAAACATATGAAATTTAGAAAGTGAAGAGAATACATTTACGATGTTCAGGCCAGGAGTTCTTGCCATTATTTTTGGGAGAGGGGAAAGGAATAGGTAGAGTATGAGAAGAGGAGGCCAGCTGAGCTCCTCTGTTTCTTATTTATAAACTAGGGCCAGGAATACATGGAAAAACATGAAAATTAAATAAAACTACATATACATACTGCACACAATAAATATATATTGTGGCTGGGCCTGGTGGCGCATGCCTGTAATCCCAGCACTCAGGAGGCTGAGGCAGGAGGATCACTGCAAGTTCGAGACCAACCTGGGCTACAAAGTGAGCTCAAGGCCAGTCTGAACTGCATAGTGAGACCCTGGCTCAGAAACAAAAAACGAACAAAAATATGTATTCAATGTGTAAGGTACTTCACATCAATAGTAATATAACAGGGATATTACTTGTGTCTAGATGTCATGTTTCCTGCATTTTTTTTGTTTGTTTTTGAGACAGGGTCTTGCTATGTATTCCAGGCTGGCCTTCAACTCACAGCAATTCTCCTGCCTCAGCCTCCTGAGTGCTGGGATTACAGGCATGGGCCACCATACTTGGTTCCCTGCATATTATACATAATATAAAGCTTAATTGTTCCTATTATCATCCTTCTATAAACTGTTCTTTTGTACCTAACAGTATTTATTGGGCAATATAAATCAGCTTGTCACATAGCTGTTTAGCTGCATGGCAATGTAAAACTAAGTTTTCAAATTTGCTGTTAGTTTTAAAATGGAACTGGATGGAGAGGCCAGCAGGGAAAGGAAGCGTATTTTAGGGTCTTTCGTATGGTTTCTATGTAACATTTAATCGTTATAGTGCCTCAGACGCTCTTCATTTTTTAGATTAAAAAGGAGGCCCCACTGGAAGATGACTAAGTAGACTCTCTTCATTTTTCAGATGTGGCTCTGAATCTCAAACTTGCCTGAGGTTCTAAGTTTATAAATGACAGAGCTTGGACTTGATTAAAACATTCATTGCTTTTTCTAACACCACAGGATGTGAATTTCTGTAATTATTTTCTCCTGTTCTATTTTAAGTGATGAAAGAAAAAAATGCATTTTCAGTATAATAACCATGTGACGGAGAAATCCTATTTTGCCATCTCAATGGAATGCTTATTATTAAAACATATGGTTGATAGGGATATAGTGCCAGGCATGGTGGTGCATGCCTGCAATCCTAGCACTGGGGAGGCTAAGGCAGGAGGATCATAAATTTGAGCTCAGCCTTGGCAATTTAGTGAGATCCTGTCTCAAAACAAACAAACAAGCCATTACACAAAAAATGGGCTCAGGGCCTGGGGATGTAGCTCAGTGCAAAGGTCCTGGGTTTAATTCTCAAAACGGAAAAAAAAAGCGTCTATATCAGAAATAGAATCCACTTGTAATTCTTAAATTGTTCCAATCCAGTTAGGACCAGCGCTTACAAACTTCAGTGTATACCTATCAAAGGGTGGAAATATTTGTGGCTTAGAGTAATAAATAGAAAATTGATATATATATATATATATGACCTTTTTTTTTACCATCATCTACAGCTGGGTTAACACATGGTGACCTTTCTCAATTTCATACTAAGACCCAAGGGGACAAATGTGAAAATACTTATGGGGCAATGTAACAGGCTGTTGGAAAGCAGGGTGGTTCCATCTGAAAATTGCTTAACTCAATTTTGAGTAAGCTGCTTTCTTTTTTAATATTTGGGAGCTGAATTTTGCATAGTTATCATCTTGACTGTAAGACAGAAGGAAGCACAATTCTGGTAGCTCTTCTCATTTTGAATAACATTGAAGGTGTATGGTCCAGTAGATGTACAATATGTGGGCTGTTATAGTATCTAGTGAAAAACTACAAGTCAACTTTTCAATTTGCCTGTTGTTTATAATGGTAACATTTCCAATGACCACACACTCTAGAATACTAACAGGTGGTACAGTCTAATCATGTTATGTATCTGGAAAAAGGAAAGCTAAAGTTTTGTCTTTTTAAGTTTTTTTTTTTTTCTTTTCTTTTCTTTTTTGGTCTTTTTGAGACAGGGTTTTGCTATGCAGTTCAGGATGGCCTTGAGCTCACTTTGTAGCCCAGGCTGGTCTTGAACTAGCAACGATCCTCCCGCCTCAGCCTCCGGAGTGCTGGGATTAGAGAGGTGTGCCACCACACCCGGCATTTTAAAGATATTGTTGGGTAATTCATTTGTGGGATGAATCTTAGGTATTTAGGGAAGATTGCTCTCCTATGTATTAACTCTCAAGTGGGACAGAGTCTTACATTTAAGCAAATGTACTTTGTATTATCAGAAAGGCAACCTTTTTCAGAGAATCCGACTCTTCACTCTTTGTCTACAGCAGCAGCCTATGTCAACAGTCATTGAAATTCTATTGCTTTCTTATCTTCATCCACACAGTGGCCTACCAGAACCTGTCACTCCTCTTGCTGTCCCTCCACATTGTACCTCTTTGGCTGACTGCCCGTTAATCTTTTTCTCACCCTCAGCCTCCAGCAGGCCCCCCTTTTATCTAAAACATACTTAAGTGGAAACTTTTTCTGTAGCTTTCACTTTGACTTTTAGTGTCAACTCGCATTCACTCAAGCCTGCTCTGCAACCTGTACGTTAAAGTTTATACTTGCTGTGTTTCCCCCTTCCTGGCTAGAAGGAACTGAGCAGCTCCCTGGTCACTGGGGGGCCAGGTTATTTTGGGCCGTGTGGGCTGAGGGTAAGGCTCAGCTGGGGAAGGAGCTAAATCCAGTCTCAGGCCGAAGCCAATCCTTGGTTCTCAGGTCTCATACGCATTGCAGTCTAATTTTCACTTGGAACAGAACTCATGTGGATGCTCAATTTATTCCCTAATTATTTAAAATAATGAAGAAACACATCTGTGGTTTCAGTGGGATAGTTTCTTTTTACCCTTAGTTCCGCATTTAAAAAATTACATAGTCTGCATTTTGACTTCAGTGAAAGGGGTGAGAAAGGTCACTTTTCTTCCTTTATGTTAAAAAAATGTGCATGGCAAATAGACAAGGCAAAGAGCTGTTACCAGTCTATAGCTGCGAACTGACCACTCACGGAAGAAGGCCACTGCGGCCGCTTCAGTGAAGTTACGGTTTCCCGCACTCCAAGCCTCCCCGCTATTACATACAGGGAGACTGGCTAACGTCAGCTTTCTCTGATATCTGCAAAGATTCTGCTCACAGAAGTGAATGACTGGTTCTTGTAATATTTAGATTCTTTTTTTTCATTGAGACAGGGTCTCACTACGCGGCCCAGGCTGGCCTTGAACTCATGTGATCCTCCTGCTTCAGCCTCTCAAGTGCTGGGATTACAGAAGTTCACCACCATGCCCAACCTAATATTTAGGTTTTAAATCAGGTTAGGCCTTGATCTGCTTCCAGCTGGTTGACATGTTCAATTATGTAGGCCGTGCAACACGTTTTTGGTTATCCTATAGTTTTTGTCTTTGCATTCCTCTAGATTTCATGTAGTCTTTACTTTAGAGATCATTGCTTTTCCTCTGGAATAAGTCAATGTGGAAAAGGGAGACCAAAAGGGAATTAACCTTGTACCAATAAGACCAGTCTTATTGAAGCACATATGTAATAAATGTTAAGGTTTTGGTGCATAATTTGAAGACAATTTTCACAGAACATATTGCTCTCAAGTCAAGGTTAAAGGGAAATTTTCCACTGGGATAATGAAAAGGATGAGCTCCTTTAAAAAAAATAATGAGGTTTCTCTTCTAGGCATCTTCCCTCAGGCACTGAGACTGCAGCCATCCAATAAGTGAGGAAGGGCAGAAAGAGGAGGATTCCAAAGTCACGAAGTATTGGTAGCTAGTTCTTAGCAAGCCGGGCAATGAGGTTCTTCCATTCTGCCCGCTTCTTTGTGATGTATGTGGGGGTGAGCAGCTGCAGCAGGGAGTCCGGCTGCTGCCTAAAGAGGCTCTGGCACAAGGCCTCAGTGTTACAGATCACGTACATCCCACAGTCATAGCTGTTTTGCTGAGCAGGGGCTTTCTCCTCCACAAAGACCAGTTTTTCTCCTTTTCTACCTAAAAAGGCCTCTAGTTTCTCTGCTACCTGCTTTGCATGGGTGGAGTTGCTTTTGCTGTGGGAATCATAATGGAAAAAGCTATTTTTATCTCGGAGATAAACCAACAAACTCCAGTGGGTTCCCCCAGCTGCCTGGTTGGAGTTATCGTTGATGGCTAAAAACACAGCTCTCTTACGGGGGAGACCCAGGGGTTCGAGAAACATGGCGATTTCTGCTGGGCTGTTAGTGCACTTGATGAACTGGGTGACTTCGGGGCTGATGAAGCAGACATGGTCAGAGCAGTCACGAAACTGACTGTTGGCAAAATACTCAAAGGCAAACCCAATAATATGGTCATTGAGCCAGCTTGGCGGGTCCAGCAGTGAGACATCGGATTGCCGCAGGAGACTGTCCATGTAACTCAGGACTACGGGGTCCATCTTGTACTGACTGGGGCTGCTCAGAAGTCCCTGAAGCTGAAGGAGAGACAAAAGACAGTATCTACTGCTGAATGGGATATCAGGCTGTAAAATGCTAGCTATTCAGACAGGCTTGTGGTAAAGACGAAATCATTTGTAATTTAGCAACACTATATACCTGGCTGTGACTTCACATGCAAGAAACTAGCATAGATTCTATATATGAACAATTATTTAGAATGAAAACTGTGAATATTTTCTAGGCAGACACTAAGTATGAAATTTTAATTTTCTATTTAAATGTAGAGATAAAAATCATACCTACTGTTTTACTAAGTACTGTAACAGGAACCATATGTTGGTTTTTTAATGAATATGCATAACAACAGCAAATTATTTTTGTGTTAAAGATGAATTTAAAGGATCTGAAGAAAAGAGTTTCTAATTACCAAGGGAAATGGTTTCCATTTTAACACTAATTTTCAAGAGATTTACTTCCTCCTTCCATAAAGGAAAGTGACAGTGATTAGAACTGTAGTTAAAAGGAAGTCTAATATGAAGAACAAAAAAAAAAAATCACATGACTAATACAAATGAAAATCCTTCCTGATTCTGACCAAAGTGATATATAACATGTCTGCTCATTTCCCATCTTTAACCTAAAAAGGTGAGATAAAGATTATGAAATTAGAAAGTCTTTTATCCCCCCTCCCCTCTTTTTTTCTTTTATTGTGACCCTGGGGATAGAACCGAGGGAGCTCTGAGCTATATCCCCAGCCCTCTTTTTATTTTACTTATTTTATTTTATTTTATTTTTTTTGGTTTTTCTCCGGTACCCGGAACCAAACTCACGACCTTGCGCTTGCCAGGCAGGCGCTTTGCCGCTGATCTCTTTTTATTTTTAATTTAGCCCTGTCTTGCTAAATTGCCCATGTTGGCCTTGAACTTGTGATCCTTCTCTCTCAAGCCTCACAGATGACTGGGAGTATAGGGATACAACACCATGCCTACCTCTTGACTTTTTGAAGGGCTGTGTGGCCCAGGAATCAGGAGGCCTGGGTCTAGCCCTAGTTTATTACTGATGTGCTAGTTACATTTTGAATGGCTGGTCAAGTGTTTCTGTCCTTGTTTCTGTCATCTGCTAAAGAGTATCTACTTGCCTGTCATACCTCAGAGAGCTGTAGAAAAGGTCAAATCATTTTACTTGAAGGTACTAGAAGAGTTAAAGAAGTTGTTCAAATAATATTTATGCTATCCTTTGGATGATATTAGTAAGATAATTACAAAATCCAGACAGAACTCCAAACCAGTCAAAGCAAATAGTGTTTGGGAACAAATATCCATTCAAATTATCTTGTCCAAGTAATAAGCAAGAAAAGTTAAACTGTCTGATGGGATTAATGTGTGTGTGATCACTCAAGGCATAATGCTTGTTAGAAGTCTAATGGGATAGAAGATGATATAATATTTGAGCCTACAGACTCAGCAGAGTTAACAGTTACCTGCTATGCACTGACATAGCAGCACAGTATTTCTTTTTTTTTTTTTTTTTTTTTTTTTTT